CTCCTTCTCTCTAATTTCCCTTCTTTGTCATGAATACAGTCTTCTCCAGATTTTCTACCCTTAGAAGAATCTAGTTGCACCTTGAGAAAGCATCCATGAAAGATAAAAGGTTGATACCTAGGTGAGCATCGACCAACTTGTCAATGAAAGGAAGCATGTATGAATCTTTTGGGCAATGGTTGTTCTAATTCGATCCACGTACACATTCTCCACTTACCCTTTTTTTTTTCTTTACCATAGCAATATTTGCAAGTCAAGTAGTGTAAAGTGTTTTCATGATGAAATCTGCCCTTAAATAACTTGCTTTTCCACTTCTAAGGCTCCATCAGGACCCATGCATGCATCATTGTTTTTGGCTAAGCAATTTTACAGATGAATTTGCAACTAACATATGTTTGAACAATATTGTCTAATCAATGTCACATATACTAGTTGGAGACCATTCAAACAAATCGACAATTCTTTTTAAAAAAAAAAAATTTGTCAATTCATGTTTCAAGTTGCCTAATAAATTCAACCCTATCTTCATGGTTTGAGCTGAATTTGCCCCTACCTTGTTAGATCCCCTTTCAACTCTAGTCTCTAAATCAAACAATTGGGTTTTTCTTGGCAATTAAATAATTGTTAAAAATATTACATTGGTATCCCAATAAAAATGTTATAAACATTAAAAAAAAAAGTAAAGAAATTATGAGTAATTTCATGAAATTTTAATATTAGTGTAATTTACTCAGAGATTTAGGGGAGTGTATTGGATTAAGATTTTAAAGGACTTTTTTAGTTGAAAAAAGTCCTGTAGATTTTAAAAGACTTTACAAAATTTTCATGAGTTTTAAGATTTTGTAGGATTCCACAAGACTTTCAATCAGGATTTTAATGGATTATGCAAGACTTTTAAGTTAGGATTTTAATGGATTCTGCATGACTTTGTGAACTTTACAGAATTTCATAAATTTTTTAAATAGGATAAGAGTTCAAGATTTTTTTTCATACATTCAAATTTAAAAAAGAGTCAAATATAAAAAAAACAATAATGTCTGGATAAATAAAAATAATATTTTTTCGTAATATCATGTTGTTCTAAATAGAATTTACCCACATATTCATATCTATACTAGTTCTCCAAACTTTAGTATCTTTTCGCTCTTGCTCCTGTGTTTTAATAATAGGCTCAGAATTATGATTTTCATTAACTAGTAATGTTGAAGATGAAGGTTCGTCCATCACTTCAATTGAAAATTCATCATAATGACATTCTTTACGAAGAAAGTTATGTAGTCCCACATATGCTAAAAAATATTCTAAACAACATTTTAAATTTTTTATAATTTTTAATTTAAAATATTTTATTTATAATATTATAAATGATTAAAAAAATAGTGGGACAAAATAATTTTTTATGAAATTTGTTACAAGTACAAAATAATTTTTTAATTTTTAATTATTCACTCGTGTCTTATGTTAGTTTTCTTTTTTAAAATATAAAAATCCTAATTTCATAATATAAAAATTAAAAAAATAAAATTCATAGTAAAATAAATAAATAAAATAATTGTTGAGTCATAAAAGGGGAAGGATAATAATAATAAATTCAAGAAAGGGAGAGAGATCGTAATTTTTGTGCTGAGGTTTCTTCCCCCAACTAGATTCATTTTTATCCCATTCTACTTACAAAAATCCTAACTCAAATTCATCTTTTACATATATATATATATATATATATATATATATATATATATCGCGTGTTATAAAAAAAGTTAAAATTTTAAGTGTTTTCTATGTTATATAACTGAGGAACAATCTCAATTAAATAGACTAAAATAGAACAAGTCAATTAAAGAGAACGGAGAGAAAAATAAAGCAAGTTAATGACACCATCATTTACGTATAGAAATTTCACCAAATAAGGAAATGAAATGGGAATAGTAGTACAATATTATATATAAGTAGTAGTGTAGTATTATTAACAAGAGAAAAAAAAAATGGAGAAGACATGAGTATAGAAAAAAAAAATGAAAAACTCCCTTGGCAATTCTTGAAGCACTTGAAAAGTCACTCCAAACAATCCTCCAAAATCTTATGGGTTTGGATGGGATTGTTTTATGAATTTGGTATTTATAGATACCACTAAAAAGTCCATCAAAATCTCTCTAATACAACAATACTTTAAAATTCCTATATTTTTAAATACCAATGGATTGTTTTGAAGTTGTAAAAAGTCTCAAATGAATACCAATGGATTTTAATAGACTCTTTAAAAAATCTTGAAAATCTTTATTAAATACTACTGGATTGTTTTTAAGTAACATAAAATCCTGATTGAATACCAATAAACTTTTTTACTAAAAAAAAAAGTCTTTTAAAATCCTATGAAATCTTAAACCAATACACTCCCCTTAAATATAATCATAAGTTGAAAGCATTTTTATTTAAAGATACAAAATAAAAAAAATTACCATAAATCACCTTAATTATAAGAGATTGTTTTAGCTAATTAATTAGTAATTTTAAATTTGAGTCTTAAATATTTTGTCACGTTATACATTTTTAGGAGAAAAAAAAACTTGTTGTCCTTAATAATTATATTTAATTCAAACATATTTGTCTCTTTTAAAAAATATAAGTATTTTCTAAAAAAAATATGTACATAAATAAAAAAGAAGTGAACGATCAATTACAAAAAATTACATATTAAATATTTTTTTAAATTATGATAGACATCTTCAATAAAAATAAATGATTAATGATCAAGTTTCATTGGAAGAAAATTTCTTGTAGAAATTCAATGAATAGAGACCGAGATTGTGTAGTCACTTACAAACCAATTTAGGGATTGGAATAATCGGTCTCTACGTTGATTAAAAACATGAAATATAGTTAGAGCAAAACTTTTCGGTATCTATTAATCTTCAAAAGTTAATTTTTTGGTACATCTTACACTCTAATTATAATATATTTTTAGTCTCTAACTATATTTTTTATATTATAGTTAGAAAATAATGAGATAATATTAATATATTTAAATCATAAAATAGAACTAAATAATAAAAAAATATTTTAAATATTAATAATAAAATATATAATTCATAAATAACAACTTTGAAATTTATAAATTATTGTTCATATTCTTTTTGAATTTTTATATTATATTTAAAATTTTTATAAAAAAAAATATTTTGAACATGTAAAAAGTATTAAATTTATATTAAATGATTAATATTGTGATACAAGATTATTTTTAATTATTCATAATGTTTTAAATTTATTGAAATTAATGTAAAATAAGTATGAGAATATATATTGAGATAGATGACAGGTTTAAAAATTCTCTAAAACAAAATTTCTTATAAAAAAATTCTTAAAAACATTGTCATTAGAAAAAAAAAGCTTTTACAATTACTTTTATTAAAAAAAACTCTTAAACACTCTTTCTAGTAATAGAAG